GTGATTAACCTGCCTTTTAATTCTCCCATGATGACTGCCACTTCTGAGCAATCAGAATGATGGCCATTAAGTGGATTTGCCTTGTGAATGTGTGAATACTTACAACCATGGCTCTGTTGTATTTCTATTTTTCTTAATAAAGTCCTTGTCATTGCAATAGAAGTAATTTGTGCTTCCAGTGCAACCAGATCAACACTCCATGGCTTGGATACCAATGACCTTCAGGGCTAGGCTCTGGATTCCCTTGCCAGGACATTTAAGCAGCCCCATCTCATCCAGTCACCAGTATGCATATCCTTCAATGTGAACGAAAGACTGTCATGGTAAAGGATAGGAAATATATGAGAGATTTCCAGGCTTCACCCAAGATAGAATTAATGGGCTCAATAATGAAATAAAGTTGTGAGATTCACTTTACTTCACTTCCATTTATAATGAATGAACTAGCTTGAGGTTCATTTCACAGAGTTTGGGGGCAGTCCTTTTCATACTCCACTAAAGGACCAAGGCCTGTTTTCCCCAATGAAGGAGATTAGTCCTTGAGAAAGTTGTTACAAGGTTACTTAGCCATGCATAATGACTCTGAGACTAATAATTGTCCCTTGTCCTCTGTTCCTACTGGCACGGATCACCACTAGGACAGAAATATTCAATTCAACGACTGATGTTTCAATGTCAGAAGTAAAAGAGAGGGAAACAATGATGGCAAAACTTGTTACTGTAGATCTCCATACACGATGTGTGCTCACAGGTCATCACACATGCTTAACTATGCATACATGTATGTTTGCCACGTGAAGCACTAAATGGCATGTTCTTTCCTGCCAAAATCATGAAATATGGCATTCAACTTCAGGCAGTTATTAGCAGACTTGGGCTCATGCATATGGACTCAAAGACCCCATATTCACACCCTTCCCTAAGACAATATACCTGCATACCTGCACAAGGATAATACTTATATGTCATTGCTCATTCATGCATTAAATCTTGAATATTTCAAGCTCTGAGCTATGTTTCAGATAGAGAACAAGGAGTAAATGAAACATAACTTTTCACAAAGCTTTTAGTACAATGGTCTGGCCAGCATTTTCTCTCTGATGATACTTATTTTATAGATAGATAGATAGATATAGATGATGATTATAGAATATAGATTTTTCCTTTTTGTTTTTTGCTGTTCTGGGTGCATATAAAGTAAACACACCTACACACACACACACACACACACACACACACACACACACACACACACACTCATACACACAGATATTAAAACAGTGAAATTTTTGCATCTTGGATGGAGGTCTGTCAATTTGTCTACAGCTGAACATGGAGGGAAATAACAAAAGCTATGTCTAGTGAACAGGTTCATGGTTTCCCAGTAACACTTTGTATGACAGATTTTAATTATGCTTGTTCATTTCAGCTCAGTTTGCCAAGGCAGGAGGGGGTGTGCAGGCAGTACCAGCCTAGTCACATATGTAAATTACAAACGTGTATTTCGTTACATAATTGATACCTCTATCTGTCCTAGAATGAAGCTTACCAGCACTCATTTCCTTCAAAAATGGAATGAATTATATTATAATCTAAGGACAGCTAACATGACATCAAGATGAAACTCAGATTAACAAACACAGAGAAGCATTGGCCACCTGCATGGAGATGAGCCAAATTGGCAAGCAAAGCACTTTTCCTGTGTCAAATATCTCACTGCCCTGGCGACAAAATTTCTGAGTTCATTAAAATAAAAATAAATTCCTTCTTTAGAGTATAAAAATATACTACCTTGAAATATGGGATACAACCCAGAATATATGACCTGGAATGCTAACCTTGGGATTTCCCACAGTACAATGAAAAAACAGAGGTATTTCAGACAAGGGATGTGAAGAGATAACACAGAATGGAATTTCTGGAGCAACTGACCAGCCTGCAGCCTGGTTTTGATAAATGTGCTTTCTACTTGGCTACTCTGAACTCTGTGCCTTCCTTCTGTCTTCCCTTCTGCTTCTGTTACCTGGAGCCAAGGTTCCTGACTTTCTGGAGAAAGGGAGTGGGGGAGGGGAGGAGTGGGAAGTAGTAAGCAACAGAGAGTCTGAGAGGGCCAGAGAGATTATAGTATCAATAAAATTTCTTTTTTTTCCCCCACTGTGGCAGGTCAGATGTTATGCTTCAATCTTTTATTTCAATTGGTAGGCATTATTCTTTCCAGTTTTGTTTTGACAGGGTATCTTCTCAAATCAATACCTTTACTGAATACCTTTATTTGAATGTCTTTCTCACTTTTGGGTAGTTTCTGTAAATGCTGCCTTTGCAAAAATAAAGAAAAGATAAGGTAAAACAGATAAACAAATTGGAAGCGATATATACCATGCCTTGTGAAAGTGGAGCCCAGGGTGACATTTTGCCATCATGAACCCTGTGCCCCATTAGCACAGGAATAACGTTGTGTAAGAATGTGTGCAGATGGCAATAAGCAATGACCTTGCTGTTTCTAGGACACAGGGTTTTGTGGACTAGAGAATCACAAACAGGAAAAGAGCATTATCCCCCCCAAACTCGAAAGTTCTGTGTAGTATTTCTTGTATTAGTTTTCTGCTCTGAGATTTTGCTACTAAAGAACATTATCGCACAGCCCAGCACCACTGGTATCACTGAGGTTGCAGAATCATAGGCTCCTGCTGAACCAGGGTTCAGATCTTAATAAGATCCCTAGATGAGCCATACATGAATGCAAACTTTGAGCGGTAATGCTTCAACATTTCTAAGCAATCTAGTACGTGAGGTGCAATAGATAACTAGCAACCCTGACAATCTTTTTCCTGCACACTCATTCCTTCACATGTACTTGGTAAACTCCTAATGTACATAGAGTAGTGTGTGCTGAAGACAGAAGAGTGAACAGACAGATTGCCTGCTCTGACAGTACTTACAGAATGATGGGCAGGAAAATTGATTCCACAATTCTATATGTGAAATATAAAATTTCAAGATGAAGGAAAATACTTAGATAATATCAAACATGCTGGTTAAAGTTGGGAGCTTAAGGCCAGCTTCCCAAATAAATAGATGTTTCACCCATGAGCTAAGCCATCCACAATGATTAACTGTGCTCAGTTGTTCAGAGTAGGAGGGAGAGAGGAAGGTATCCAGGGGACAGCAAAAACCATGTATCAGTTTCTGTGGCAAAACATACAACCTGGTAAGTTCTGTTTCAGCATTCAAATGCCTGCAGTCAGAACTTATGAAAGGTACAAGGTGAGACCAGGCTGAGGCAATGGGCAGGTACCAAGCTATGTTGAGCTCCATGAGGAAGGAAGGACTTCTCTCACTATCATCAGATGAGTCCATGAGATCTTTGGAGCAGTTGGCTGCCTGTCTTTCCTCAGGAAAAGAGTTCCCTCTGTGCTTCGATGTTGGACAGGAAAGTCTCTGTGCACAGTGATTCATATGTATTGGCTTTTCTATCCTCACCTGAATGGGCTTTGCAAATAGACATCACTGTTTTCAGTGGACCCTCCACATATCCTATGGATATTATTACCTAAATTTCTCTTTTATTTTTCTCATCTATAATGGGACTGACAGTCTAAAAATCTGTCAGGAGGAATAATAGTGTAAATTATATAAAATACTTGGCACAAGTGTCACAAAGTAATTTTTCAATCAAGCTACCTTAGAACCATTAGTATGAATTTTCTTAATTTTCAGGAAAACAATAAAATAAAATAAATAATAAAATAAAAAAATAAAATTAGATAATGAATGAATGAATAAAAGGTTAAAATGGCATTTAAAGGTGATACAAACAATGAGTGGTATTTTGAGATATTTTTATACATGGGTTTGAATTCTGTATTTTCACATTACTTTCGTGGATAGCATGTATCTAACACCACAATCCTCACTAACCGAATGAAGCTCTTCACTGTAGCCTAACGGGGGCTGACATGACCTAGCAGAGGGTGGCAATCTAGTCTAATGACTTCGCCTTCCCGCTGCTTGTGATGAGGCTCACAAGGGAATAATTCATTTTTCCTTCCTTTCAGAGTGTTTTGTGAGAATCCCTAAACACAACAGTGAGGTATTACCTGGATGGTATCTGACAAAATGAGGGAACTGAGAAAAATAAAACAAAACAGCAATGGGAACAACAAAGCATTTTAGAAACAAGCAACCCAGGGCTGGGAAGAGAGGTCAGTTGACAAAGTGCTTACCTTGCAAGCTTGAGGACATGATTTTGATTCCCAGAACTCACATTTTGACAAATGCTGGGCATGGGTAGTCTCAGACTTGCAGTCCTAGTGCTGGGAGGTAGTGAAGCGTAGATCCCTGGACTTTGCTCGCCATCTGGTTGAGCCTCCTTGAGCACTTCCAGGACAGTGAGAAGTCTTGTCTCATAAAAAATTGTTTGTGTGTGTGGGTGCGAGTGTGTGTAAAGATGGCTCAGTGGTATAGATCATTGTTTGCTCTTGTGAAAGACCTAGTTTTGATTCCAGGAACCCACACTGTAGCTGTCTTAGCTTGCCTAGCTTGTGTCAAGTTGACATGAAGCTAGCTAGTACAAGAGCTGACAACCATTCTTAATTCCAGGGGATCCAGTGCTTCCTTCTGACCTCCATATGCACCAGGCACACACATGGCACACATACATTCATGAAAGCAAAACACTCTCACACAGAAAATAAGACAAATCTTTTTGGAAATCAAATTGAAAAGGTGAATAGCAATGAGTAACTCTGAAGTTGTCCTCTGTGTCCACATGCAGGTCACTCTGTCCCAGAGGAATCCAGAATATTAGAATTTTCTATCAGGGCATAACTTACATAAATTCATGTGTTTATGAAAATTATTAAGCAAATAGATTGCTGGACATAGGAAACGTCTACATCCCCAAATGGCCTGGATGATCACTACTGTGGCTGTAGACTAGGTTAAGGACCAAATGACAGAACTAATACCACTATGAACATGAACACAGTTGATTTACTTACGTCCATCTATGGTCCTGGCCTCGAGATGCACAAGGTCTGGTTCTTTGTTTGACCCCATCACAGACCTAAAAAATGGAGAAACATAAAAAAGAACACTTGACATTAATAACTTCACATATATCTCACTAAAGCTCATAGACTGCTAATGCCCACAGGTTTCTAAGAAGACCATAATTCTGGGAACATAACCACTCTATTTATGTACAGAGCTTGACAGCAAAATTTCTACTCAAAATAAAAACAACAATGCATCCTTTATTTGAATAAGGCCAGGCTGAACTCTGGCAAGGATATCGTGTGTCCTTTAGCTCAGGCTTCAAAATATGTCCTACACATGGAATTCATGCACCCATACCATCACATCGTCAATTGCACGTCAGATGGGCAGGAAGATGTCAGGCATACTGCTTCAGATAATTGACTTGCACAGGGATTCACAGAGCAAACTGATCTAAATAAAGTTTGTCACTTTAAGTTTACAGAAGTCTATGAACCTTTGTTTACAACGTTATGTGACCCAACCAGTTCAAAAACACCTGCAGCAGAATAACCATTCTCAGCAGTGTTGGACCAATGTAACTAAAAAGAAATGTAGATACACTTCACATTCTAATATGTCCTAAATCCATATATTGATGTAAAAAGAAAACCTATTTTATACTCCTCAGAGACCATACTGAATAGAAAGGATTATTCTGTTATATAAATAAGACAGGCAATCACACTTTATCCCCAGAATTTTTATAGAACAGGATCACTTAAGCATAAGCATATTTGTGCTTCATTTTAAGCAGGATTCACAGAAATTTAATTGGTTCAATTTCTATAAAGAAAAGAGTCATATGCTGTAATGCAGTATGCCCCCAGCCATTCAACCCAGCATCCTTGAAGATGCGGAGTTCAAAAGTGCACATCACTTCAGGACGTCACATGGAGCCTCAGACTGCAAACGACAGGCCTAATCTCACTTTCACCGCCTCATCATCAGACACACTAAAAGATTTTGCCAGTCCTGAAGTGCCACATCCATTACACACTCCTCTGTGAGCCTCTCGATGGCTCTCCTTGCAGTTTAGAATGCTCTGCTCCAGCTTCCTTGTAGTCTCCCAGACTCCGTTCAAAGACACGGTGGAAAGGCCACTTCTGCTAAATATACCCTGCTTACAGCAAAGATAGCATTTCCTACAAACAAATATTCATTTTTATGTAAATACCCTAAATTATCACTCATATTTTTCTCAAAAATAATTCTTTGTGTGTTTTCCCAAATGTGAGAATAGCCTGTTACCTCAACGATCACATTCATGCACCAAACACAGGGAAGCAAGCACAAACACATGCATGTCCCCCCCGCCACACCATGTCCCCCCGCCACACCACACACACACACACACACACACACACACACACACACACACACACACACACACACACAGGTGAACACAACAAATAAAGCTACTGGAGGAATTTTGTCTTAAACCGTTTACTTTTCCTGTAATAGTAAAATTGTAAATTGTGGAATGCAAACAAAGCGGGAGAAGAAACAAGAAAAAAATGATTAGTAGAGGGGGGGAAGGGAGAATAAAGAAGTACAAAGACCTGCAGATTCTTTGAAAGAAGTAAATTAATCGATGTCTTAAGGGCATTCTCAGAACTCTCTTTTTTATCTGAATTCATTTTCCCAACTCGGAGAGTCTGAGGCCTCACCAGCTTAGCTGTTCTTCACTTTTACAAAAGCAGGCTCCTTATGGACCTATTATCATCACTGTCAGTAAGATTTCTCTGATTGATACATGGCCTGAAATTCAAAATCTATGCTCTAAACATTAAATCCTGCTTTCTTCTACCAGGAAGCAGACATTTCCTAATAAGGCTTTTATCATTTCACTCAAAGAAACCTGTAACATGAATTTGAACATTTTACATCACTAGAAATAGCTTGAACAAATGCAGAAGGTGACCCCTCCACCGTCATTTTAGTTAAATATTTCAAGAACTATTGGTCCATAAGCATGGTTCTCCATCTCTCAACACTGAGACGGTGTACAAATCCACAGGTCTCTTCTTCAGACAAGATCTCAAGCCACAAGCACTAAAAATGAACAAGAGGGGCTGAGAAAATGACTCAATAGCTAAGATACTTTGCTTTGAAGCAGGAGGAACTGAGTTTGAGTTCCAATCACTCCTATAATAAGTTAAGTTCAGCTTTATATGCATGTAACATGCACAGCACTGGGAGGGAGAAAATAAGACCCAAAGAGCCCTGTGGCAAGGCTAACCTAGGCTAAATGGCCAGGCTTCTGGGTTAGTAAGAGACCCTGCCTCAAGGCAATATGACTGAGAATGACAGAGAAATATACAAGATGTCCTATTCTAGCACCTGCATGCACATTCATGGTTATGAGCATGACGTACTCATATGCCTGTACCACACTCACAGATACCTCAACCACACTCACAGATACCTCATGTGTGATTGTGCATGTTTGTGCATGCAGTAACAGTAAAGACATGGAAAGTACTGGTAGAGTAGTCAGTATTTTCTATTATTTCAAATATATGATGTTTCTCCATTTTGAAACTCCAAAAGAATTCTTCAATAAATGATGAAAAACACTGGTCCAGGATTGTTCAGTTGAAGGTTTTATTTACCTTGTCTGCAAGTCTAATGTGAAACTTTTTTCCTTTTTGAATTAAATTCTTCAGACCTATATCCATGCTGGTATATCTGCCTGGAATCCCTCAACCTCACCCTTCTGTCTTCACTTCATTTCTGGGACTCAGCTACAGATGACTGAATTTAAACATACCTTTCCTAGTTCAAGTGTCATTTAAGAAAGTCAGTTAGCCTTTCAAGACTTCTAGAACCATGCATATACTTCAGAAATTTTTAATGCAAAAGTAAGATTTCTGTGAATACACACACTCACAGGAAAAATTCCTGGCACAATTGGCTAGTAGCACAGGCCTATCATCATAGTCTTTTGAGAGCCTAAGGCCAAAATGATCCAGGCTAGCCTGGCCAATGTTGTGAGTGATAAGGAAGGTTAGCTAATAGCCAACTGAGCCCAACTCTGGTAGATATTGAGGTCATAGGTTTAATTCTGAGAACTCTACCCAAAATATACTCTTGTTATAGAGCAAGGGCTCAGTAAATGTTGCTGATTTTGTTCTTTTCTATCATCTCATTTTATTTGAAGAGATGAGTAGTGAAGTTAATAATCACCCATGAAATTAAAATCAATATTGGCATGATATATTCTTTGGGTTATCATGGTTGCCTACTAACAGAAATGATGTATAAAAATTATTTGTTTTCACATGTCAATAGTCAAAAAATAATAAAGTCAATCTATAATAGTCCATGTACCAGACAACAGCTATATGAAAAGTGAAATTCACTTATTTACTCACTCAGGATTCCAAGTTAATGATGAATAACTTTTGGGGTGCCACTGGGACACCTAGGAAAAGTGTTGTGTTTTTTTTTTTCCCTGTAGATAGAACCTCAGGAAGCAGCAGGCCCAGGCTGACTGTGAATGAAACTGAATCAAATCTCCAGGAATATTCAGGTAGCTGATTGGTAAATAGTGGTAGTGGAAGCAAATTCCATTTAAATAAAAGTAGCAGATACAGCCCTAGTCTATGAGATCAAAAAGAGAGTTATCCACTTGGGCCATTTGTTAGTGAGTCAAGAGATTTGGGGTTTTCTAAGTAGAATAATAAAAATAAGATGAAATGTTGTTAGATATTATCATTAAGCACCATTGTGCAATGGTAAGGCTTTGCATTTGACTCTTAGAGCCATTAGATGGCATGGATGGAAGTTGAGGAAATGTGGCTGGGAGGTACAGCACTTGGCTAGCATGCATTTATCTCTGGGTGTAATCCTCAGCATTGAGAAAAAAATGGAATAAATAAAGTATATAATCACTCACATGAAAGAATGGTATCCCTGCCTGTGTGTGGACCTTGAGGGAAACTGAAATTAAAGCTTACTGGCCATTCTAGAGCTCTTCCACTGATAAAAGCACAATCAAGCCTACAGTAGCACAGCACCTCTGTGCTTCTGGTATCTCAAGTTGGTATTCCTGTTGAGAGCTATTTTAGAACAAAACTCTAAGGATCACCAGAACCAAGGATATGAAGAAAACTAAATCCAACCTGACACAGTACACCACGAATCCTGGCAGTGCGATGTCAGCCCTGTGAAATACAATCAGTCCAATGCAGCCTTTGTAGACATTTTCTACAGAGGAACTCAGAAATGTCACTAGTTTATCATTCTCCTGGCATTTTGTCTGAGTTTATCCCACTTTAATATAGTGCTCAATAAATGCTGCAGAGCCACAAAATGTCCTGGAGTCGATAACTACAGAGCAAGTATTAAAAAATAAATACTGCGACTGGATAGCACCTACTTATTCAGATTTAGAAATGCAGTTACAGCCTCCAAGGAACTGGGATCTGCAGAGGGACGGAGGCTGCTAGGGAAGGAGACCTCTGCTTTCCTTTTCTTTATTTTAATGGTGTATTCATGTATTCCCTGGACCTCTCCATAAAACACTTCCTTAGAAGCAAGTAATGCTGTCTGCTACAGACAGAGGCAGTGGCGTGCCTGGAAGATATTAACATTTGGACCCCTTGATTTCCTTCTGTACAGCCAGGTTTGGCTCTTCACCTGCCATGATAGTTTCTAAAGCAAACTACAACTTTAACTGTTGAACAAGGAAGCTTAGCCTGAGGTCTCATCTGCTGCACAACCAGGAAAACAAGCTACGTGAAAGCAAGGATGCCTGAAAGTCCCTTTACCCTCTCTCTTTATCCAGAGAGACATGCTTTCTTCTTGTTTCCTTTAGTCTAGACCTCACTCTGCCACATTGTTTTCCCAGTAACAAAGCTACCTCCTGTGAACAACAAATAAAGAAGCCAATAAATAGACAAGACAAATATAAATAATTGTTAGTTTCCTGTATGTAATGACCTACTGAGAAATCAGCATGGGCAGCAACCTTAAGCTTCCCAAGTTCAAAGTCTGCATCTTGCCATCCATATTCCTCAAGCC